AAGCATTCTAACAGGAAACATTACCAACTATTAAAAGATGTGCACAGACCAACACCGCAAGGCTTTGCAGCATCTGATTATATCTGCCCAGAACACCACTGGCACCCTGCTATGTGTCTGCTCAGAGCCTAAAGCATACTAAAGTACACTTCGACGGACACAGGCCACAGCCTGTTCACCCTGCTGCCACCCAGCAACCCGCTGAACCACCAGACTTCAGAAGTTTCTTTCCTCGGGCCGTGAGGTTATTGAATTGATCTGCCACGCTGCATCATAAATATAGCTTCAAAAATGTATTTTTCTAATTTCATTTTGCTTTTGTTTTTTTTGTCAGTGATATAAATAAGACGTCATTTGCAAGCTTCCTCGACCTTCTGTGGCATAATAATAAATACAAATATTGATTCTAAAACTTTGAAATGTAAAATTGATGAAATGTAAGTGACTGAAGGGGGAAAAAGCTCTAGAAGAGGCCAGAAAAACTATGCAGAGCTCTCTGTCGGCTTTAGGCCAACCCCCAAATGCAAAAGGAACTCAGTAGTGTTACACATCGGCCATTGCTCCACAACCTAGAAGTGTGCCGTAAACAGAACACCTTGTTCAGCTCTGGCCTTTACAATGAGACTCACGCATGCTGCAAACAAGATTTCCTCATTTCCTCACAAAGTAGCTACACAAATTTGTTTGTCCAGGTTTTTATGATGGTAATATGCCTCGGTGTATGACTGCTGTGTTTTAGCGTTAATACGGCGATTTTGGGAGTTTGTCACTTCCAGAGATTCTTTGTACTGCAGGGCTTAATGACTCAGTGTACATGTTTGTTTTGGGGTAACACCAGTGGTAAATATCTGTTTCTGTGCTTTCAAGGTCTGTTCAAACCCAGTGAACCCACATTGGCAGCTTAGTGCTTGTATTACTGGGATTAGAGTTAAATAAAGGAAATATGTGATAAAATATTATAAAAATGCTTCTTTTAATAAACAGTGTACCTTTAACAAAAAAAATGGCATGTAGCTACTA